TGTTCTGTCTCCTTGGGCCATAGATTAAATGGAAGCCCACAAATGTGACTCCATATAATCAAGAACACATAGCTAGTAAATACCAGGGCCGAAACGAGAGCACAGTCTCCTGACCCCCATATGTGGTATTCACTGTGCTGTTGACACCAGGTGATCCATGACCCTTCATCCTCCTCCCCACGTCCTAACTCTGAAACCATCACACTGTGTAATGTACTTTGTGGGATCAGAGCCAAGTTTAGATTAAATGAAGAATGGAGGACTCCCTCCCCCGTACACGTAATTGTAATTTGTGTTCAGGGAACTTACTGATATGGTTCAATTTTCCACGCCATGCTAGGGCTATAAAAGGACAAGATGGGCAGCCCAGCAGTCGTTCCAACTTTATGGCCTCATCAGATGTTTTTAACTGAGATTTGCGTACAAGCAGTGAGATTGATTGATGTGGGCTTTAAATGCGGTTGCTTCCCCCAACCTGGACTCTTGAGGACATGCCAAGCATTGTTACAACTTTAAAGTAAGCCAGAAGTCAACCTGCATCTGCGGGTAAACATTCCTGTGCGTTCGAGGCTGTCCTGCCCCAGCAGGCTGTGGGAGAACGAGGCTTGCTGGGTCCAGGCTACAGTTAGGCAGCTGGTGGAGAATCAAAGCCAGAAGAGCAGGTGTGGATTTAATGCTCAGTTCAGTAAGGTAAAGTGTAAAAACCTTTTATATTGCCAGACGTCGTAGTGGACTTCTAGGTAGGGAATGCCTAGCTTTTTTTTTGTAACTTAATCTGCTATTATTTGCGAGCTTTAGGAGGGCAAGAATAAGTTCTTATGAAAGCTACAAACCACCCTGAGCAGATAATGGCCAGCAGAGTGTGTATGTTGGGCGTCAGGACCGTCATTAGCCCTAGAGGTGGGGGTGACATAGTTGTGTTTGAAGGAGACACAGGGCCGCTTCTCTATTTCTCTAACTAACCACTGGTTACATAATGTGTTCAGTTTGTAAAAATTCATTGACTTTTTATACTTACTAATATGCTTTTTTTCTGAATGTATAATAAATTACATTTCAGTTAAAGTTCGAAAGTCTGAATTTGTATTTGTATATCTCATTACATATTGATACTCAGAAAAATCTTCCTTTAGTTGAATCGATTTAAAATGGTGCAGGATTTGTTATCTAGGCAGTATCGGAAACTGTCTCTCCACCTGGAATTGTCAGGACTATATGGGCAGAACTTCCAGAGTCATTTTTTGATTCAATTGAAACATATCTTAAATGATTTCAGGGTAGGGGATGATGTCACCTTAGTTCTGCAGTTACTGGCAACCTGTTGTGAACAAGGGTAGCACCAGCAATGGAGTTGGATACAGCTATGACATCATCCCTCCCTGGAAGGAGTGTAAGTCTACCAGGGTGAAAGTACACAGGGCGTGTGGTAAGGAGGACAGTAAAGCCTTGCTGCAGGGTAAGCCCACAGTGGCAGGGCGTATCACAGAGAGGAGAGACAGCGTTCTCTCCAGGAAAACCTGATGGAGCAAAGGGCATTTGAAATGGATTTTGAGAGGTCAGGTGCAATGGCTCGTACCTGTAATCCTAGCACTCTGGGAGGCCAAGGCAGGTGGATTGCCTGAGCTCATGGGTTCGAGACCAGCCTCAGCAATAGTGAGACGCTATCTCTCAAAATAACTGGGTGTTGTGGGCGCCTGTAGTCCCAGCTACTCTGGAAGCTGAGGCAAGAAGATTGCTTGAGCCCAAGAGGTTGAGGCTGCTGTGAGCTATGATGCCAGGGCACTCTACCGAGGGCAACAAAGTAAGGCTCTGTCTCAAGAAACAAACAATGGATTTTGAAGAATATGTAGGATTTTTATAAAGTAACAGTGGATGAGTGGCAGCATTGCGAATATCATGTATACAAAAAAAAAATCCACAGAAAATTCATGTACATTTGGGGAACTTAGGATTGTATGGTTCACTGAAGGCGAGTAGCATTCTGAAGGTGTGAGGTGAGACCTGAAAGGTCACCTAGGGCCTTACAGTGGCCAGATCATACTGTTTGATTGGGGAGGCCTTAGGAAGCCAAAGAAAGTTTCTAAAAGTAGAGAAGCATGATCAAATATGATGTCTCCAGGGAAATCTAGTCTCCAGCCTCAGTGATTGTACCCTTACCGTTAATTGCCCCGTCTGTCCTAAGTAAACGGTTTCTCGGTTTAGTGCACTCTTTCTTTGTTTCTGTAATTTGAACCCATTGCTGTTCGGGTTCCCTAATGAACCACAGTCCATCGAGTCTCTCAGCTTCCTGTGGTCATCCCTCAAGGATTTGCAGGTTACTGCACACCCTCTTTACTCCCCACGCCTCTTCTTCCCTCTTGACCAAGTGAAGTCACAATCCTTTTATCCTTTCTTTGTAGAGACTGTTTTCTAGCCTTATAGTGATTGGGCGTTTATTTCCTTCTGGTCTTTCCTATGTGATGCTCTTCTGCCAGATAAAGCAACCAGTGTCTCATTCCTGGCAAAACTGTGCTTGGGAGGAGAGGGACCCGGTAATAACTGTCCACAAACTTAGGTGAGCTCTGAAGGCCTGACCCGCCCGCAGGGATTGCGTCCGACTCTGCCTTTGCACCCCCTCTGGAATGAAGCACTGGGTAGGATTAACGTGTAGCAAAGTGTCAATACACATCACTGGAAATGGTCCGTGCTGAGTCTGGGTCACCCAGTGTCAGGTCTGGCATTCCCTTAACTGATTTTTTCCCCTCAGCCTCCTAGTCCCTAAATGAAGGGTAACTTCTATTAAAGAACGTCTTGCCTCCCATTCGATTTCTGTTGAGACCTCGTGTTGAGGCATTATTTAATGAAAGGGATGTTGACTTGACAAATGAGATGCTTCAGTTTAGATCTTATGAGTCATTATTTGGAGCTTGTGTTTACATTCTACCAAAAAAAGCCGTTTTCTTATCCCCTAAGGACTTAGTAACAGAATGACCTGATAGGGAACGAGGATTAGAGTTAGGGTGACTTGGGTTCAAATCCTGGTTCCTTCGCCTTTGGTTTCTGCATGTTTATGGACTTGGCATGTTCTTTGCCTGGCACAGCCTTGAAGGTCAAGTAAGACGGCCCAGGGGAGGCAGCCACAGAAGCTGTTTCTGCCTTTCCTGTCGGAGCACATGCTGGCCACCCTTTACCAGAAAGCGTGGCGCTACTTTGTAATTCTTTTCTTTAAATGGCCCTTGAATTAGAGAGCTATTTCATGTGGTCTTAGTATTATTGTTGTTTCGCCTTGTATAAACATTAGTGTGGTGTGGTTTGAAATTATTTGTTGTGTTACCCAATTATTAAAATTAATCTTGCACTGTCTTACCTGTTGCATCTGTTTAATGATTCCATTAAGAAAATAAATTTTCTTGTGTTGATCCATGTACCTGCTAGTGTCTTGTCTTCTTCCTTCCTTTTAAAAAAAATTCTCGGCTTGGCGCCTATAGCTCAACCGGCTAAGGCGCCAGCCACGTACACCTAAGGTGGCAGGTTCGAATCCCCAGCCTGGACCCGCCAAACAACAATGACAGCTGCAACCAAAAAAATAGCTGGGCGTTGTGGCGGACGCCTGTGGTCCCAGCTACTTGGGAGGCAGAGGCAGGAGACTCGCTTGAGCCCAGGAGTTGGAGGTTGC